TTCATTTGCTGAAAGCTAAATGTTGGGAGATGGATTAATATTCCTTAATGAAGCTTCTTGTAGCCCATTAGCCTAAAGGAATATTCTCTGCAGCAGGTGATGGTGTGCTGCTTTAGATTTTGTGGTTTAAGGGCTCTCTGTTTTCCTGGAGGAGAGTCAAGGATGGTTACAGGTACAAGGTCCATGGGCTGCATCGTGTGGCTCCGCAGCAGAGTCAGGAAGGGAGCCCTGGCTTCTAACATGGCAATTGGATCTCTTTTGTGAAAGGAGCATTGCTCTTTTGGACCTGATATTCTCATTTGGGTAGTTTGTTGAGCTTGTTCATTTTTTTTTCCAGAGGAAGATGTATGATTCTTGTACTTGGTTCTGCTGCCAGTGTTCACTAATCTGCCTCTCCTGTTCTCAGAATCTGGAATCCAGTGCCAGAATGGCTCATACCCTGACATTCCAAGTGTGAGACTCATGCAGACACCAGTGATGGGCATTTCTATAAAGTCATTTCCTTCTGCTGGGTCTGAATAGGACCTGTTCAGGTTCAGTTTGGAGGGATAGCGAATTGTGTCTACTCCTTCGAGAGCAGCGACTTCAAACAGACATTGCTAGCCTCTTGAGATTCAGTAATGGAGTTGAATGTGGGTTTGTGCAATTCTGGGACCTTTTTCAGAGCAGGTGCAGCTGTGGCAAGTGAATTAGCTGATACTGAAGCTTTCGGGTTTTACTGTGTCTGTGCCATATTAGCATAGAGGAAAGAGAATAAGGAAAATAAGCAGAGATATTTCTCTCCTTTTCTTTGAAGTGTTACCATTGAAGCGGCTAGCAAGAAGAAGTTCCTACTTCATGCTAGCCATTAAAAATTGGTAACCCTTCTTTGCAAGATTGCTTGCATTTCTGATTCAAAGCTGGAGGTTGTATTTCAACTGGCTGGAGTTGCTAAAGACGAATGTGTTTTAGAAAGTTGAATCTATGAAGTAAGGACAAACTAACTCAAGGAAACTATGGATAGTCAAGCTGATTCCAATAAACTGGGTGTTGTGTTGCATACACCTCCTCTTTGGTGGGGTACAGTAATGGATAAGTGAATCATTTTTGGATTTTCCTATGGAGCTGTCATGATGAACTTCTGAATTCCAAATTTACAACTAACCTGCTAAGATTTAGTACCCAAGAATCTAGTAGCCATTGTTGGACCTCTTCTCCGGTGTTAATTGGTCTATTCCTTCTTCTAAACAAACAAACAAAAACAAACAAAACCAAGAACAAAACTCGATCTAAGCTTGTAGCCATCCTTACATCCTGTGGCACAGTGAATTAATTCTAAACTGCAGGAAGAAAATGTTCCTTTGCTTTTTGGAGGACGTGAAATCTAGGATTGTGAGGAGGTGGTGAATTTTTCTTGTAAACCAGGCATGTCCAACAGGTAGATTGTGATATAGATCACTGGATGTCTGTGGCAGATCACTGGTAGATCACTGGCTCCCCCCCCCAGAAGCTCAACAACTTTGGCTCCCCTAAAAAAAGCTCAACATTTTTGCCCTGAACCCCAAAAAACAGGGCTTTCCTTCCTAAGAAAAGCTCAACAACTTTGCCCTGAACCCCCAAAACCAGGGCTTTCGTTCCTAAGAAAAGCTCAACAGCCTTGACCTGAACCCCCGAAAAGGGGGTATCATCTGCCAGTTTTTAACTCTGTGAGTAGATCACAGTCTCTTGGGAGTTGGCCACCCCTGCTGTAAACCAGCATAGTAATTATATCAGGATTCAATATAAATAACCATTATAAGAATACTGTGGAAATTGTATGTTGGTGAACTGGCAAGGTTGTTTCCAACCCAGTGATTGGTGTAATTAAAAATACAGTTACTCTATATTCACTAGAATTGGGTTTTTTGCTTTTGTTTCGAGTCCAGCCCTGTTTGCATTTTTTGAAATTTTGGGGGAGCTTTACCACAATGGAGGCTGGACTGGAGAAATCAGCCTGGCTACCTGGGGAAAAGGAAGCAGATGAGATGGGCCAGAAAGAGACCAACTTTGGACAGCCATATTTTAACTTAGTAAACTCAAACAATGAACGAGCTTTGTGCCTGCACATACAGTCTCTTCCCTCCCCAGTGTGCTGTGATTAAGCCTGGAAGTCTTTAGTTAAGCTTCGTTTCCTGCTCATTCCAAACTGGAAAACTGTATTAGACTCAGACCAAGCCAAGACCTCAGTCCATGATTTGAAGTTAGTTTAAGACCCTGGCTTCTTCCAGACATGGCAACCTGTCTCTAGGCTTAGGTTTAATGGGAATCTATGGTTAATTGAAGACTTCCTGACTTAACACAGCATGACAGGAAGGGACAGTGCAAGAATGTGGAGCATATACAAAGGGTGAACCAGATTGCTTGAACTGGGCTAGACAACAGGTTTGAGGGGAAAAGGAACTTAGAAGCAGAATGTCCTGAACCCCAACGTACATGGAGGTGAGTCCCACTGGTGTACACAGTTCCCAAGGGAAATGCTGGAGAGTAGTGAGACAGTCCAAGAGGTCAAAGACCAGGCCAAGTCCAAAGTCAGTCTGGCCAGGCTCCCGCCTCTGCAGCAGACCCAGGGTCGGAAAACCTGCGGTCAGAAAACCTGTGGTCAGTCCCGAAGTCACAGTCCAGTGGAGCTTCTGAAGCAGCCAAGCCGTGGTCCATCAACGTGGAAACCTGAGCAGACACAGATTCTATGCCTTGCTTCCCTTTTATCCTTCCAATTTTGACACATCTGGGTTTGCTCTAGATGAGCAACTGTGTCTCTGTACTCGACAAGGCATGTGATCCTCACCTGCCCTGAGCCTAATCCAGCTGTGTGACCACAAACTTTCTCCCAGACCTACTGATCCCTGTGATCCCCACCTGGTCAACTAGTGAGCTGGGTTGTGTTCCCTTGCCTGCCTCAGTTTCCTAGAGCGCCCTTCCCACTATTCCCAGCACCTCAGAACCCGCCATGTCTGTGGAGAAGGGGCTGTCTCTGGTTTTGCTGATATGCCCCCCTCCCCTGGCTCCTGTGAACTGTCAGCTGCCCCCACGCCATGTCCTGTGCGTACCTCCTAATTCCCCATCTCCTGTTCCCCATCTTCTTCTTGCCTTGGTGTGTACCAGTCGTGGCTACAGCCCTTGCCAGGATCCTGTTCCCTTCCTCTGCGTCCTGCCAGTTCATGTCACAGAAGGAGGCAAGGGCTGAAGACAGGCAGGCTCAGGGGACCACCCAGGTAGAAGTATAGGAAGCAGCCTGACAATGAGTCAGGCCACTGGCCCAGCTACTTCAGTGCTGCCTAAGCCAGGGGTCTGCAACCCGTGGCTCCGGAGCCGCATGTGGCTCTTTTACACCTTTGCCGCGGCTCCGGGGCAGATACTAGCGAGGGGAGGAGGCGCATTGTGCGCCCCGACACTCCCCACTGTGGCGGGCGCTGTACTGGCTGTGACGTCGCATGGGGCGGTGCGTGCGTTAGTCACGCACCGTCCCGACGTCACCTTCCCGCCCGCTGTCAGATCGGACATTAAGTTAAGAAACAATATATGCAGTGTTATATTTGTTTTAAATGTCGCAATGGTTTTGCGGCTCCCAGGTTTTTTTTCTTCGGAAATGGGTCCAAGTGGCTCTTTTTGTCTTAAAGGTTGCAGACCCCTGGCCTAAGCTAACAAGCTGGGAGTGGCTCCCCAGGGTTTCAGGCAGGATTCTTTCCCCCGGTTCTGGCCAGGAATGCCATGTCAGGGATTGAACTTGAGACCTTTTGCATGCAAAGCAGATACTCTACTGCTCAGCTCTGCCCCTTCTCAAAGAGC